TGGACCCGCCTTAGGGAGGTCTGCGCTTGTGCAGGGGCCCGCACTGTCGGGGCACATCCCCCCCGAACGGTGCCGTTGAAGTAGCCTCCGTGCCCTCCCCCCAGAGAGAAGGAGAAGGATCAGACCTGCACGCGCGAAGGTCTGTTCCCACCGTTGGGGGGGGATCACACCTGCATGCATGCAGGTCAGTCTTGAGACAATCGTGCGACGATCGGATCGTCATCGGTCGTGCCCGAGGATAGAAGTCGGACGAGGATCCATCGAGAACCTCATCTGGCGGCTCTGGAGGATGTCTCGGGCGCCGAGGCCCTCTCAGAGAGTCCCGGAACGCTCTGAGGGCGTCCAGCAAAGCTCTGGAGCGGCGTTGTCCTCTCGCCCTGGCCCCGGGCGACACCGCGCCCCCCCCCCCCGGGGGAGGGCGGCGATGGACCAGACAACAAACGACACCACCCCGCCTACGGCGCCAGGGGGCTTAAGCGTATGCCAGGACACATGGCGTGAGTTGTTGCGAGGTCTACGCCACGGCGCCCGATGGGCCGCAGCGCAACATGAGGGGCCGTAGATGTATCGGGCATGTCCTCCTACAGGCGGAAGTCAGAAGAAAGTTGCATATAAGAGTATAGAGAGAAGGAGAGAAGCAACAAATAATCAAAAGAGCACGAAACATCGTGTCCTTACTGCTTGGTTTACCATTCTTGGATATTCCTCCTGCAGGGGGACATGCTCGACTTGACCGTAGGTGGGGTGGTACAGTAGGGGCCCGACCGCAAGAACCCTTCCACAAGAAACCCGGCCCTCGGACCCCAGGACGCGTTGACCTGTTCGGTGTGGCAACGTCGCGCGCCCCACTGAGACACCAGCGCAACCCAAGAAACCCAGGGCACCAACGCGTTTCTGGGCTGGGCGACCAACGCTGCCTCGCCTGCGTCCCCCGCCCGGCGCCGCAGTGCCGACCCGGAGAAGGAGGAGGAGGAGGAGGAGGAGGAGGAGGAGGAGGCGAGCAGGGCCTTTCTGGGCTGGGCGGCCAACGCCGCCCGACTGGGCGGCGGACCGCGCCGCTGCCCGGCGACAGCGGGAGGCGCCGCGGCCCGCGCTTCCCTCCGCCGCGGGGCCCCGCATTGCGGCAGGGGACGAGCCTCCCTTAGCGAACCTCCCCTCTAGCGTCCTCCTCCTCCTCCTCCTCCTCCTCCTCCTCCCATCCTCGTCCTCCTCCTCCTCCTCCTCCTCCTCCTCCTCCTCCTCCTCCTCCTCCTCCTCCTCCCACTCCTCCCACTCCTCCCACTCCTCCTCCTCCCGAACCTGGGACCGACGCCGATGGACCTGGACCCGCAAAAACGACGGCCGCGACGCCCTGATGCGAACCGAACACCGCCGATTCGCGACTCGGCGCTCTCAGGGCAGGAGGCCTGTCCACCTCCGACGCATTCCCCCCCCCCCCCCCCGAAGGGGCCCACGGGGACAGGAGGGGGTCTCGTGGGTCTCATGGCATGGGTCTCTCGGGCCTGGCGAAAGGGGGGGATAGCAGGGGGGGGGGTGAGAATCAGCTCACGCAGCTGCTTTTCCCGGCGCCTCCCGGCGCCGGAGGCGCCCACGCATCGAGGAATGGGCCCCTCGGTGGGGCCGAAACCAGCTGCACGCAGCAGATGTCTTACCTCCCCCTTTCCCAGTCCACCCCTCTCGTCCGGCCCGAGTCTCCACTGCATCGTTTGAGCAGGGACTGACCGTCCCGGCATTCCTATAGTCATACCACGAAATGTTCTTAGAACCCGAAAATGTTCTAAGAACAAAAACAACGTCCTTAGAACATAAATCCGATGTGTTAAAACAAGACAGACTGCGCCAGAAATGTTCTAAGAACATTTCGTGGGAACCACGAAAAGATCCTAGAACATTGTTTGGTGGGGCTACAGGCGAGCCGGGACGCTTCGCCACTGCTTGAGAATCGTTGGTCCGTTGGCCGAGGCGCGAGGCGCCTCCTCGCACTTCGGCGCCCACTCCTGGCCGCACATGGCCTCGGCGGGGGGGGGGCAGGGGCCGGCGGGGGGGCGAGCCGGGCCTGCCTCCGCCCCCCGAAGGGCAGCTGCAGGGGTCTCGGGGGGGAGGAGGAAGGAGGAGGAGGAAGGAGGAGGAGGAGGAGGAGGTCTGGGCTTCCCGTGCCTCCCAGGTCTCCGACGTATGATTTCGTCAATCTCGGGATCCACCAAGTAGAGGAAGAAAAAACGCAGTAAACTCGCGGGGCCCAAGGACACACAAATAAATACACACAAATAAAAAGATCCTCCAAAGTTTCCCATATTCTGGGTTTTTGTCTTCCCCCCAGACTTCCCATATTTTCCTGGGAGTCGACGATTAATTGTGTCTGTGTTTTTTCCCTCCTGATAAACAGAAGCTTTTGGCGCTCCGCGCGGATTTCTTGGATCTGCGCTGGACCCGCCTTCCTGGCGCGAGGAGCGCGCCAGGGGCGGCACCGGAGGGGGGCCCGAGCGCCGATCCGAGAAATCCGCGCGTAACGCCAAATGTGTATGTTTATGGCGTCTTTTCTTCGACCAAAATGGTGGGCGACCCTGAGAGGGGGGCATGAAGGCGATCCGCTGGTGCACCGAACCTGCCGCAGACGGATGTCCCCCGAATGCCCCACCTGTCGGCAACCATCGGGAGCTGCCGGCGGCAGTGCAAAAACCGATCGAACTGACACACACACACACACACACACACACACACACACACACACACACACACACACACACGCGCACGCACGCACGCACGCACGCACGCACGCACGCACGCACGCACGCACGCACCACACACACACACACACACACACACACACACACACACACACACACACACACACACGCACACACTCATACACCCTGGGGCACGCCACCCCTGTCGCGGAATCCCGACAATCCTCAAAAAGATGTTTTTTCTCAACGCGATCAAGAAGTGTCAGGCTGTACGCCGCGGAAGGTCTGGTCAATGCCCCACCTGACGTCCTACAAGCACGGCTGCACAGAACGCGATCCGTCGGCCTGGTCTGAAAATCCCTTGAAATTGGTGACCTGGCGAGGTGAAGTACCCCTTGACCCCAGGCCCCCGTTCCTCCGTGTTGGCTCGTAGCCTCTTTCCTGTTGCTCGAAGAGAAACAAAAGCGGCACAGGCACAAACTGTCGGAGATCCGCGCGGAGCTTCAGGCTGCATAAATGCGTCTGCTGCTCGAGATCCTCTGCCCATATACGGCATGCGACGCCAACATACAAAATTTGCTGTAAACATTGCGGTGTCTCGGGGCCACAGGGATGGCCAAGGAGGGTGGTAGCGAATCAGCTGCGTACTGCTCTCGACGCCCCCCTTGCGCCGCAGGCGGCTGCGCATCACGACCAGCGGTTTGTGCACCCTCTCCAGCCTCAAGGATCCCTCGCGGGGCCCCAGGGCCGTCAAAAAACGGCGATCGGGGAGATCTCCAAATCTGCCGCTGGTCTTAGGCGCGGCGGTCTTCTCAGACCGTTCTGGAGCGCTCTGAGAGCGTTCTGGAAAGTTTTGGAACGGATTCATCCTCGTCATAGTCCCGTAGGAGGGGTAGCGAAGCAGCTGAGTGCAGCTCCCGGCTGGCTCCTCCCGGCGCCGCAGGCAGCTGTGCACAGTCAACCTGTATACGAAGGACGCGCGATAAGGACGCAAGGGCCCTTGAAGGCCCTGGCGACGCTCTGCGAGCGGGGCGCGGCCAGCGGAAGCGGCCAAGAGGGGCCGAAGGGGAAGGAAGCAAGGGTAACCTTATGTCGGGCATGTCCTCCTACAAGCAGATTCTGAAGACACATGAGAAATAAGCATAAATTACTACAAGAGAATTCGAAATAGTCGAAAAATCGTCCCCTGACTATTCTTTGACTACTCCTGAATATTCCTCCTGTAGAGGGACATGCCCGACTTAAGGGTAGCCTTGGAAAGTGGGTTGACTGAAGCAGCTGCATGCAGCCCCCGGCGGGTCCCGCCTGACGCCGCGGGAAGCCGTGCATCACGACGGACGACGTGTCTGTCCATGTTCCAGGGATCGCTCATCACCATCGGCGACGTTCGCTCCTCCTCTTCCTGCCTTTGCTCATTCTTTCTCGGAATCGGCAAGTCGGATCGGCGATCGAAATGGATCGGATCGGCGGAGATCGGCAGCCGAGTCGGGAGAGGTCGAGTCGGCAAAAATCGGCAGGCTGGCAGGCCTCCATTGAGGAATCGAAATCCAGATCTGAATCCGAAGTCGAATCGAATCGGAAGCCATCGAAATCGAACGACGGGAATCAGACGAGTTTCAATAATCCCTGTCACCATCATCATCAGCAGCAGCATCAGCATCAGCATCAGCATCATCATCTATCCGCAGCAGCATCAGCATCATCAATATCAGCATAATCAGCAGCATAATCAGCATCATCACGATCGCCATCATCAACATCAACATCAGCTTCAGCATCATCATCAACATCATCAGCAGCATCCATATCATCATCAACATCAGCAGCCTCATCATCATATTCTTCATCATCATAGTCAGCATAGTCGACAGTAACAGCATCGTCATCATCACCATCATCATAATTAGCACCACCACCACCGACAATAAACATCACGTTGGTACTGTTCGCTCTTAGTTGCTCGCGGGCCACTTAACACGTGTGTCCCACACCCTCGATACCCGCCCTCTTCGTCCTCGATCGTACCCCTCCCAGGGGGTAGAGTAGATATGCATTGTTCACACTTCACTTCGCAGCCCCCCGGGGAGCCGCGAGGTCTCAACTGGGTCCCCGTGCAACTCCAGCCCGCGCGACCTCCCAGGAGCCCACGAAAGTGGCGACAACTTCACACGTCACAGCCCCCGCAAGGAGCAGCGAAGTCTCCGCTGGGCCCCCGTGCAAATCCACTCCGCGCGACCTCCCACGAGCGCCAGAAGAAAGCGACAAGTCGCACTCCGCAGCCCCCCCCGGGGAGCCGCGAGATCCCAGCTGCGAGCGCGTGCAACACCGCTCCGCGCGACCTCCCAGGAGCCCACGGAAGCTGCGACGGCCTCACGCTCCGCGGCCCCGCAGGGAGTCGCGAGGCCTCCACGGGGCTGCGGCGCAAGCAGGCCGCAGGAGAGAAGCAGAGGGCAACGTCTGCGTGTCCCCCCTCCGCGGGACCTCCCGGCAGGCAGGGAGCAGGCGGCAGGAGGGGAAGGAGGAGGAGGAGGCAGGACGGGAAGGAGGAGGAAGGTTGGCGAGCGCAGTGCTCTATCCAACACAAGAACCCAGCGTGGGAGGGCTGGGTTCTCTGATGCACAACCTATCCCTCCTCTCCTTCCCAGAAGGCCTATCCCTCCTCCTCAACCAATTCCCTCCTATCCCCCCGTATGGATCGGTGCCTTCGTGTCCATCGCACCCCTCTAACCAATGGTATTGGCCACTCCCCTTCTATACTTCATATCCCTCCTATCTCTCTGATCAGTCGCAGATTGCATATCATTCCTATCCCTCGCATCCCTCCGCATGCCTCATATCCCTCTCATCTCCCCAAAGTTCCCTCATAGTGGCCCATATCTCTCTCGTCCCTCTTATCCCTCGAAACCCACTAATCACCAGTATCTATCCCATCCAAAACTACTGCACTCTTATCCATCCCATGTATCCATATGATCCGTTCGTATCCCTCCTACCCCTCCTGTCCATCACGTCCCTCGAAACCATCGTATCCTTCTTATGCACCATATTGTGCGTACCCCTTCTCTATATACCCCTGTCACCCCTGATACGCGCCTTGTCTATCATAAATATTCCGATACTCAGCCTTATCCCATTATCCCCCTTGTCCATACACTCTTCGTAGAAGGGGGCCAGGGCAGAAAAACACAAAAATAATACTGAAAAAACAAATAGTAAAGTAAGGGCAAAAAATAAAAAACATAAAAAAGAATGCTTACAAATACAAAAAAAAACACAAAAAATAATAAACAAAAAAAAAAAAAAAGGGGCCAGGGCAGTTGTGGATTGAAAACATATTTGCGGAATGGGGCCCTTGTGGAACGGGACCTGTTTGCGAGTGCAACACGGGCCTTTTGTGTAACGGGGCCCTCTCTGTGGAACGGGTTTTTTATGGAACGGCCAGGGCTTGTGGAACTGGACCCCTTTGCGGATCGCGGCAGTCGTGGAACAGGCCTCTCGTGGAAGCGTTCGCGGAACTGGGCCCCCTTTGTCCAACGGGGCCTTCGTAGAAAGGGCCCCCGTGTGGAATGGCCCCAGGGCCTCTATGGATCGGGGCCCTGTTGTTGCAACGGGGCCTCTGCGGAGAAGGCCCCAGCTGTGAAATGGAGGAGCGGGGCCCTCTCCGTGGAGCGGGCGCAGGTCCACGCAGGCCTGCGCAGGTCAGCGCGGGTCACGCAGATCACACAGGCCAGCGCCGGTCAACGCAGCTCAGTGCGGGTGGCGCGGGTCAGCGCAGGTCAGCGCAGAGAGAAGAGTGCAGGGCGCGCGCTGACCTGCGCTGACCTGCGCTGACCTGCCTGACCTGTGCTGACCGGATGACTTAGGCTGACCTGCGCAGACCTCCGCGCGCAACTTCCAGGGCACCAATTGCAGCCACAATGATAAAACATGTCATATGTGTTTGCGAGCCTTGGGCGTCCAACCCGAGTCGACCGATATCATAATCAGACTCCTCATCAGCAGCATCAGCATCAGCATCAGCATCCTCAACATCAGCAACATCAGCATCATCATCAGCATCGTCATCATCATCATCATCGACATCGTCATCGTCATGACCATGAAGATGATCATCATCATCAAAATCATCATCATCATCATCATCATCATCATCATCAACAACGGCAGCAGTATCATCGGCATCATCATCAGAGTTATCATAATCATTATCATCAGCATCATTCACCATCCTGATGATCATCTTCGTCACCAGCAGCAATGCAGCGTCATCATCAGACGCATCATCACCATCATCAGCATCAGCAGCATCGTCATCAGCATTGGTATCACCATCACGATCAGCACCATCATCGTTATCATCAGCATCATCAGCATCAGCATCGTCACCATCGCTTTCGTAATCATCATAGTCATCAATAGCATCACCATCATCGTTGTCGTCGTGATGATAATGAGCGTAATCAGCAGCATCAACATCCTCATCCTCATCCTCATCGTCATCTGAATCGTCGGGTTGTCTTCGTCGTCGTCGCTGTCGTCGGCGTCGTCATCATCAGCAGCATCATCAACGCCATCATCAGCCAGATCATCGCCCTCATCATCATCATCGGTGTCGTCCTGAACATCAACATCATCAGCAGCATCATAATCCTCTCTATCATCATCGTCGTCAATGCTGTCGTCACCGACGCTGTCGTCGTCGTCAGCATCATCATCATTATGATCATTATCAGCATAATCATCATCAGTAGCCGCATGATCATCATGGTCGTCGTAATCATCCCCGGCCGCAGCATCATCACCAAATTCCGCATCACTATCGTTGTCATCTCCGTAATCAACAGGATCACCAGTATCGGCGTCGTCCTCCTCCTAATCATTAACGCATCATCGTCGTCGTCGCTGCCGCCGGCGTCGTCATCATCAGCATCATCAGCAGCACTAGTATTATCATCATCATCATCATCATCATCATCATCATCATCATCAGCCGCAGCATCATCAGCATCGTCGCCATCATCATGCCCACCATCATAGTTGCCATCGTCGTGTTCGTCAGCATCACGATCAGCAGCATCATCCTCCTCGTCATAAACATTACCATCAGCAGCATCATCACCAACATCTTCAGATTCGTCGTCGCTGTCGTCGTCGTCGCTGCCGTGGTCGTCGTCGACTTCATCGCCGTCATCGTCATCAACACTATGATCAGCCGCAACCGCAACATCAACGTCGAACGCATCATTATTACCATCAACAACAACATCACCACAAGCATCATCAGTACAACCATCACCATCACCATTATAATCATCATCAGCATTGCATCCTTATCATAGGCATCATCATCAGTATAATAATTATACTCAGCAGCATCATCATCATGATCATCATTTTCAACATCACCGTCATCCAAATCTTCGTCGTCATCGTCGTCAGCATGAACATCGTCGTCGTCATCAGCAGCAGCAGCATCATCGTCGTCGTCAATATCACCAACATGCTCAGCATCATCGCTGCCGCCGTCGTCAGCATACGTAGTCATCGTCGTGATCGTCATCATCATCGCCATCATCATCATCATCATCATCATCAGCATCATCATCATCATCATCATCATCATCATCATCATCATCATCATCATTATCATAACCATCATCATCACCATCATCATCGTCATCAGCATCATCGTCATCATCAGCATCATCATCACCATCAGCATCAGCACAATCAACATCGTCATCAGCGTCATCAGCAGCATCAGCATCACGATCACCAATACAGATCATCGTCAACGTCCTCGTCGCCGTCATCAGTATCGGCATCATCATCATCAGCATCGTCATCGTCATCATCAGCATCGTCATCGTCATCATCATCATCATCATCAGCATCATCATCATCATCATCATCTTCATCATCATCACCATGCTCATCCCCATCATCATCATCGTCGTCATTGTCGTCGTGAATATCGAAATCAACATCAGCAGCATCATCACCATCAGCAGCAGCATCATCACCGTCAACATCAAAATACTCATCATCAGCGGCAGCATCATGATCGTCGTCATCGTCGTCGTGAACATCACAATCGACATCATCATCATCATCATCATCATCATCATCACCATAACCACCACCTTCATCATCACCCCCCCGTTCCCCCTGTCGGCTCGCCCCTCCCGATTCCCTCCCACATCCCTAGAAGAGATCCCAACAATGTCCCCATCGGACTCTCAAAGGGGATTCCAATCGGGTCCCGACAGGGTTCCAAGACGATTCCAACAAGATCCCAGCAGGGTCCCGACAGGACCCCAACACACCCCTGCCAGCGTCTGCCCCTTCACCACGCCTCCCAACGTTGGGGAGGTGACCATCCGAGGCGGGGAAAACATCGAGCTGAAGTCCGCGATACATCGCCGATGGATCGGCGACGTGCCCCGGAGGACCAAACCGCACGCTCATGGGCGGGCTGGGCAGTCGGGCCTCCACTGGCGATGAATAAGCGATTGGGGGTCGATACAAATCCCCCCTGAACCGATCCCCCACACCTCAACACCGCCTGGTAGTTTTCGGGTCAAAGCTGGGCTCTGCGACGGCCATTCGGGGCGATCCAGGCACCCCCAGAACGCTCTCGGCGAGGCGCAGCTGCTGGAGCGCACCCAGAGGCTGGAAAGCCAACGAAGACCGACGAAAAGGTCAGAAGACCTGGCACCTCGAACCTCGAAACTTGCCCCATGAACCCATCCCACCCCCCCGGAACGCAGCAGTGCCCAAGCCCCTCCACCCCTGCCTGCCCCCAACGCCCCCATCATCGGGCGCGGGCGCGCGCCCGAGGCTGCCTCGTACCCGAAATCCTTCTCGAGGTGCCTCGTCGCACTCGAGGGCGAAAACTTCGTCTCGTACTCGCTCTGGGGGCGACCGGCGCGTTTGCGGCGTGCCCGAGGGAGTGCGCCCGAGGCGAACCGTAGCCTCGTCAGCACTGCCTCCCTCGCCCGTCTCATCTACCCTCGTCTCCCCCCTCGGCATACCCCCATCCTCTCCCCTCTCTCCTCTTCTCCTCCATATCCTCCTCCTCCTCCTCCTCCACCTCCATCCCCCTCCTCCTCCTCCTCCTCCTCCGTCCTCCTCCTCCTCCTCCTCCTCCTCCTCCTGCATCCTATCCTCCTCCTCCTCCTCTCCTCCTCTCCTCTCCTCGCTCACCCCTTCCTGGCTCCGCGGCGGCGCGGCGGGAGCAAACGCGGTCGGCACCGACCGGCCTTGGTGCTCGCCCTCCTCCACACATCATCATCCTCTTCCCACCTCCTCTTCCCCCCCTAACCTCGTTCTCCTCCTCCTCCTCCTCCTTCCACCTCCTTCCTCCTCCTCCTCCTCCTCCGCCTTCTGCTTATCTCCTCCTCCTCCTCTTCCCCTCCTAACCACCTCCTGCTCGTACACCCTCCACCCCTTCATCATCCACATCCCATCCTCCTCCCATCCTTCTCCTCCCTCCTCATCATCATCATCATCATCACCCACCACCAATCATCATCTCCTCATCATCAACCATCCATCATCATCATCATCACCATCATCACCATCATCACCATCATCAACTTTTCAGCATCATCATCAACATCATCATCATCCTCCTACCTCTTCATCATCATCATCATCATCATCATCATCATCATCATCATCCATCATCATCATCCACAATCTCCGCCTCCACGTCCTCCTCCTCCAGGCCCCTTTCCCCCTACTCCTCCCCCTCCTCTTCCTCCTCCTCCTCCCCCTCCTACTCCTCCTCCTCCTCCTCCTCCTCCTCATCCTTCTCCTCCTCCTCCTCGTGATCGCCCCCACCTTCATCACCAGCATTAGCATCAAAAGCGTACTTGCTACAATCACGATATCCAGTGTTATCGTTACCACCATCCCAATGACCATCACATTCAACGGCGCCATTGGCACCATATTCATCAACGTCGTTGTCACCGTCGTCGTCACCATCATCACCATCAGCAGCAACAACATCATCACCGTCATCGTCACCATCATCACTGGCATTGAAATCGTACCCATCACCAGCAGCACCAGCACCATCATAGGTTCACCACCGCCATCTATTTCATCACCACCATCACCGCTACCAACACCGTCACCGTCCTCAAAATGCCGGCCCCATCCTCATCTTCGCAATCATAGCCTTCGTCCTCCCCCTGTTCCTTGTCATCGTCTGGGTCATCACCATCATCACCATCGTCGGTTTCGTCGTCGGCGGCGTCATCATCATAACAATCGGAATCACCATCACCCCAATGATCATCATCAGCATCGCCATCATCATCATCATCATCATCAGCATCATCATCATCATCAGCATCATCATAATCATCATCACCGCGGACCACGACCATCAAACTCATCACCATCAGCATCAGCACAATCATCGTCGGCAGCACTAACATCATCGACGCCATGATCATCATCATCATCATCATCATCATCAGCATCAACATCATCATCAGCATCATCATCATCATCATCAATCGCATCAACACCATCATCAACATCAGAATCGTCATCCCCCTAATGCCAGTAGCATCACCAGCAACTTCACCATCGTCGCCATCAGCATTGCCATCGCCACCTAAACCATCGCCCAACACCAAAAGCATCATCAGCATCGTCATCATGTTACTCATCATCATCAGCATCATCATCAGCATCATCATCATGATCATCATCATCATCATCAGCATCATCATCATCATCGTCAACATCATAATCGTAACCAGTACAACCAGCATTACAATTACCATGATAACCTCCATGATTATAGGTTGATCATCGCGGCCACCACAAACATCGTCATTCGCATGACCATCGTCAACAAAGCCCTCATCATGATAATCGTCATCACCATCACCACCATCATCATCATCATCATCATCATCATCATCATCATCATCATCATCATCATCATCATCTCCAGCACCAACATCATCGTTATCATTTGCATCGTCGTCACCATCGTTATCATCACCGTTCTCGCCCGCCCCGTCATCCTCGTGTTCCTTCTCCACCCCCTCCTTCTCCTCTCCTCCTCCTCCTCCACCTCCTCCACCTCCTCCACCCCTCCTGCACACCTCCTCCTCCTCCTCCTCCCACCTCCCCACCGTCCTCGCCGCTTTCCTTCCCTCGTCCTCTCCCGCTCAACAAAAAAAACTCTCCTCCTCCTCCTCCTCCTCCTCCTCCTCCTCCTCCTCTTCCTTCTCCTCCTTTTCCTCCTCCTGCTCCTCCTCCCCATCCTGCAGCCGAAAGCGGGTCTGACGCCAGGAAGCCACGCCAGGAGGGTGCAGCGTCCAGCCTGCCACGGTCACGGCGGGACCCTTCGGAGAGGCTGGCCTGCAGCTCCCTCGCGCGCCACCGGCAAGAGCGCTGACCGCAGACGAGGGGGCGGCCGGCCGCATGCCCGCGGCGCCCATCCGACCAGCAGGCGGTGCACTTGGCGCTCGGGGCTGCCGTTGGAGGTTGGTTGGGGTTGGTTGGTACAGTCGAGGCGCAAGATAAGGGTCCACGATTGAGGATGCCAGGGCCTTGGGAGGCCATGTCGGCACCCACCCTTCGAGAGGCGCGTCCCGCGGAAGTGGCCAAGGACGAGCCGAAGGGGAAAGATGCAAGGGTGGCCTTGGAAAATCGCACATCCTCACTATGCGACTTAACTCTACAATTTGTCCTTGTGTCCCTGTGAGGCTGTTGACACTCTTCTTCAAGCACTATGTTGTTTGAAGAACTTGGCACAGCAGGAACATTGGTAATGCTGTCCGTAACGTCGGTTCGAGACAGCTTCGCAAGAGAGTCTGGAGCCAGGCTCGCAGACCCTTGGCTGGGCCGACGAGCCTGTGTGGACCTTCGCGGCCCTATCATAAACGTGCTCTCGACCGAATTCCGTCCAAGGTTCGAACGCCCCTCTTCACCCTTTTGCCCAGACTTTGTGCAGATGTCGTCCACGCGTCGACCAAATCGGACAAATGTCGTGCGAAATCGATCAGAAGATTGTTGCTTGGAGAGACCTTCGACGGCCTTGGAGAGCACAAGAGTCGGGTCGGGCGAGGCCGTGGGACGTCAAAAGAATGACAATTCCAAAGCCGCCCGTGTCCGATGCTGCTCGGCCCGAGGTGGCCCCGGAAAAGGCTTGAGAGAGCCCCTAGAAGCTCCCAAGACAACCCAAGAAGATACCGTGGCGACGAGTCCACAAGAAAGCGTCCGCAAGAAACCCAACCCTGAGACCCAAGGACGTCCACCGATTTTTGGCGTGGGAATGTCGCGCCCTTCATGGCAAAACCATCGAAACCCAAGAAACCAAGGGCACCCTGGAGGCAAGCAGGGTGTTTCTTGGCATGGGTCTGCACTGTACCAAGAGGTTGCCGCAGACGGCCTGAAAAGCCCAACAAGATGGCCCGAGATCGCTCTGTGAAAGAACTCCAAGAGGGCTCGAAGACGGCCATGGTTCAACTGCATCCTTCCGAAGAGTTTGGAAAAACGATCGCGCCCAAGACAGGCCCGAGACCCTCAACAGGCTCCCAACAGGTTCCATAAGCCCACAAAAGCCCCTTCAGGGGGCCCCAAGAGGAGAGAGGCCAACAGCGGCCACAAAATAATCCCCCAAGAGGCCTCCAGTCAGCCCCGAAGGGGCAACGCAAAACTAGTGCGTCGTAGTGCGTTGTTGTGGCCGCGCCACGCTGCAACTTTGTAGCGATGCTGCCCAAACGACCCTGGATGGTTCTACAGAGTCTGTCGGGGGAAATATGTAGACCCGCCCTGCTTGCGATTCCACGCTGCGCTGGCACCGTGGCGGGGTTTCGAGGAGGAGCGTAAAGGGGGGGGGGCCGCCCCACGAGGGAAGCATCGAGCTGGCATCGGCTGGCGATGCATCGCCGAATCCGGACCTCCCGGGGCGATCTGGGCTGTCGGGCCCCCCATCGGCGACGAATGGGCGATTCGGGGTCGATGCGTCCACCCCTGAGCCCATCCCACCTGACGTTGCGCCGTGGCTGTCGGGTCATGACTCGGCTCTCTCCGGCGTTCGGGGCGACCTGGGCACCCCGGGAACGCTCTGGGCGAGGCGCGGCTGCTGGAGAGCACCCAAAGGCTGGAAGGCCACCGAGAACTGACGGACAGATTCAAAAAAAAACTCGAACCTCGTACCCCGAAACTTCGCACCCCGAGGCTTGTGGCAGGAAGCGGGCTGAGAAAACAAGCGGCATCACCCGCTTCGTCTTCTTCAGCGTGGTGAACTCCTCCACGCGCTCCGCGAGCGCCCGCAGCTCGCCCGCGTGGATGCTGGGCACCACGCGCGTGGCGAAGTTGCGGTAGGTCGACTCGCGGGCCGGGCACGGCGGGACGCGCACGGCGAGGAACGGAGGGGCGGCACCGAAGCACGAGGGGGTGGGCAGTGGAAGGCCGAGGAGAGGAGCGGGGGAGAGTTCCCCCCGACCCCCGCACGCACAGCACCCGGCGGCCTCCGAGCCGGGCCCAGCCGTGAGACGGCGCCTCGGCCGGATTGCACCAACGCGCCCGCGAGCACCTGCGAGAACTGCAAGTGCCGTGCGCGCCCTTCGGCACCCGCAGAGCACGCAACAGGAGAGACCGGGAGGGAGGGAACGAGGAGGAGGAGGAAAATACGGAAGGGCGGAAGCAAGGGGGAGGAAGGGAGGAGAGGGCCTCCTCCTCCTCCTCCTCCTCCTCCTCCTCCTCCTCCTCCTCCACCTCCTCCTCCTCCTCCTCCGCCTCCGCCTCCGCCTCCTCCTCCTCCTCCTCCTCCTCCTCCTCCTCCTCCTCCTCCTCCTCCTCCTCCTCCTCCTCTCCCGTAGCCATTTTGGCTCAAGGGTGGGGTTAAACCCATCCTTAACTTCCCAACCTCCGCTCGAGCAGCAACAGGTGCATGCGCCCCGCGCGCCCCCGCGGTCCCCCTGGCCTCACAGTTTTGGTGGTGAAGCTTCTTCATCTCGTGTGTCAGCCATGGCAGACCAGCGCGCCTTCCATCAGTGCAGTAACCCGCAGTGCTCAGGATGGATCTGGGCAAATAGGCGGGCACAATTTTGTGGGGACTGTGGGTCCCCTTTCGGCAGGGCAGTTCGTTTTGCAGATCCGCAACCCCGCCCTGCCCCCAAAGCCAAACCGGAGGCCAAGCCCTACGCCCGTGGCTCCCCAGGCCAAGGACGTTGGGGCAGGCGCTCTGGCAGCCGCCCTCCCCCCCCTGCTGGAGTTGGGGGAGGGAGTGGGGGGCGCCTGCATTCAGCCCCCCCAGCAGCGGCAGCGGCAGCAGACGGAGGAGGAGGAGGAGGAGGAGGCCCAGCAGCCTCGGCTGCTGCCAGCAGCAGCCCTGATGCTGTCACCTTCGCCCAGGACCACCTCTCTTTCCTCCGTCGTTCAGGACTCGACCAGGAGCATCCCCTCGTCAAGGCAGCCACCCAGGAGCTTCAGCAAGCCAAACGGGCGGCTTTGGCATCGAGGAGCCTGGGGGAGCAAACCAAGAGCTTGGTTGATCAGTTGGATGCCCAACGGAAGAAGAGAGCCAACTTGGATGCCAGTAATAAGAAATTGTTGGAACAAGTTGCCCAGTTGCTCGAGCAACATTCCAAAGGCGAACAAGAGTTCAACAAGTGCGAACAGGAGATCACGGCTCTCCAGGCTCAGCTCACTGTCACGAGGAATGCAGCAGCAGCAGAGCTTTCAGTTCAGCAAGGAGTGGTTTCCTTTGCCCAGTCTCACCTCCCCACTCTCCCTGGGTATCAGCCTACACAGGTCCTTCAGGATGCTATGGGGGTCATGGTACGAGAGCTGGAGCAGGCCAGGCAGTTGCAGCAGAACGAAGCAACAGCCGCAGCAGCCCCAGCAGCACGGCCAGGAGGAGGAGCAGGCGGAGGAGGAGCCCCAGGAGGAGGAGCGGCAGAGACGGCAGCAGGGGCGGACGGAGCACAGTGGAGAGTGCCTCCCTCCGCGGCCGCCGCGCCCGCCGCCCCCGCGGCGCCCCGCGCCGACGTGCCTCCGCCCGCTGAGCCCCCACCCGCAGGGGCAAACGCGGCAGGGGGGACGGAGGGGCAGGGGGCGCCAGAGGAAGGACGAGGAGCAGCAGGAGGTCAGCAGCCGCAGCAGCAGCAGCAGCCACAGCCTCCTCTTCAACCTCAGCAGCCTCCGCCCCAGCAGTCAGCAGCAGCGGCAGCCCCAGCAGTGGCAGCAGGTAACGGCGGCAACAGCGACGAGCTTAATGACCCTATTCCAGACTCCCCAGCCGAGATGGTTGAGCTCATGGATTTGGCCGATGCCACTAAGAAGCGGAGCCTGGCAGTCCACCTTGAAAAGCTGGTCCAAAGCATGGAGGGCAAGTCCGATGCTGACGAGGCCATCCTCAAGAGACTCCGAGTGCATCGTGATGCACTTCAGTCGGCCGGCCCGTCAGGTGGGTAATATTAGCCTCAAGGTGGTAACCATAAACGGCAGCTGCTGGAGGGCAGTAAAAGATTTCGTCACCTCTCCCTTTGCAGGACCCGTCGGTATTGTACTAGCGCAAGAAGTACGCCTCTGGCAACCAGAGGCAATAACATCGGCTACTACATGGGCCAGCTCTCAGGGCTGGCACGCTATCGTCACGCCAGCTCGCTTGACGGACCAAGAGCGCCCCTCCGGGGGCACAGCGATCTTGATTCGAGCAGGTCTTGACTTAGGCGTTCGTTCTATCACTCTACCTCATCTTGAAAGTCCCCACCGCCTGACAGCAGTTGCTGTGGAGGCACCTGGATTAGGACAGTTGGCTGTTGTCTCGATCTATCTATATGACTCGGAGGGGATGTCTCAGAGAAATGCCCAGTTGCTAGCAGCAGCGGGAGAGATCCAGCAGCAGTGCAAGATGCCGATGGTGATGGGAGGGGATTTTAACCTTACTCCGACCACCTTGTTGCAGACAGACTTTGTGGTGAGGGCGACAGTTCGGATTCATAGTACTGTTAAGCCCACACATGTTGCCAAGAAGAGCAGGTCGATCTTGGATTATTTTCTTGTGTCAGAAGCCTTGGATGACAGAGTGGTAGAGACCAGCATCCTCGAATACCCCCTGACCCCGCACAGAGTAGTGCAGTTGGAACTGGAAAGTGGGCAGTATTTTATTCCAGTATTGCAGCAGCCTCAGCAGCTCCCCCGCAGCTTCCCCTTCGGCCCTCTCCAGCAGCAGCTTCCCTGGACGGCAGCGACGGCAGCGATGAGGAAGGCGGAGGAGATGTTTTTCACAGAGGAAGGCGAGGTGGTCAAGCACAGCATGGCAACCAAGCAAGCAGCCCTGGATGCAGCGTATCTGGCCCTGGTCCAGGACATGGAGCAGGCAATTGCTAGGAGCACGGATACGCAACTTCGTCAACCGTCTCTTCGCGGCAAACCTCCCACGGTGAAATGGGTCCCCGCCACGGCCTTCCAGAAGAAGCACCAGAAGTCGTGGGTTTGGGGACCCTGGCGAAACCTCTGATCTGGCTCAGGGGCAAAGCGCAGGAAACCAGAGCTTTCTTCGCGGGCAAGGGTCCAGAAAGTGTCACCAGCATTTCCAGATACGACGTCAACTGGGCCTTAGAAGAGGTTCAGTCCCCGCCCCAGCAGTTCAGCAACTCTGGGTCACTCCAGCAGGCCCTGGATACGTTTAGGAACCTCCTGCTGGCCATCGGCCTGGACAGCCAAGCCGGGTGCCTCAACACCGAGTTGGTCGATCGCATGTTCGTTGATTTCTTAGATGAGCTGGAGAGCAGCATCAGTCAGGAGGAGAGGCAGAGCGCCAGCGACAGCAACAAGCAGTGGAGGGACTGGGTAGCCGAGGCCATGCAAGGAGGAGCGGGCAAAGCACACGCCTACTCTCGCAGTTCCCCCCCCTGGCAGCCGCAGGCAGTTAGACATGGAGGCAGGTGGTCAGGGAGGCCCAGTCACCTGCTGCAGGCTGAGGCAGGTAGGTCGCAGGAGCTGTGGCAGTCCTTATCCCACGAAGGCCCACTGTTTCAGGGAGCCCCAGATGAAGAGCCGCCGTCACCCCTACAGCCTCAGCAGATCCTTGCAGCTGCCAAAACCTTCCCCAAGACCACAGGGATGACTTGGGACGGTTTTCATCCAGTGCACTTCAAAATGATTGGCCAAGTTGGGCTGGAGATAATGGCCACCCTGTTTAAACTCGTGGAGGCCCTGGGGACCTTTCCCACTCCGCTGCGCGCCGTACTGACGGTGATCATTCCGAAGCACAAGAAGACAGGCAGCCAGCCCCAGTACAGAGGTATAGGCATGCTCCCCAGCCTGTACAGGTTATGGGCACGCGCTAGGCAGCACGTGGCCAAGTCTTGGGAACAGAACCACAAGAGAGGGTTTTTGTGCCACCAATCGGGCAGGTCCATTTGTGAACTAGTCTATATGCAGGCCTTAAGTGCAGAAAGAGGACAGTACGTCAACCCCGTCATGCACACAGGCACGATCATGTGGGATTTAAGCAACTTTTACGAGCATGTGGACAGAGAGGACCTGTACCAGAAAGCGCTCCACAACAAGTTCAGCTCCCACATTTTATCGGTCATACTCAATCAGCATAAGTCTAGAAGGTTAGTGTCGTTCTCATCTATGGTCACCGACGTGGGTTACACTACCAGGGGCATCCCAGCAGGCGACAGCTTCGCCACTTATCTCGTTCAAATATATTGTATAAACGAACTAGACGAGTGGCAGTCTCAGCACAGTATGGTGCAGCTGAGCGTCTTCATCGATGACTTCCTCCAGCAAGCACAGAGCAGTTCTATGCTGACGGTGCTGACAAATTTGACAGATGCAGCCCATGACATGAGACAGGTGATTGAGTTAGACCTACAGTGCTCTGTGGCCGACCACAAATCAGTAGTCCTTGCGTCTTCTGAGAAGTTGCAGTTGCAGATAGTCAAGGCCCTTGGAACCAAAGGTGGACAGGCACTAGATTCGGCAGCCAACTTAGGCATCGACTACAGCGCAGGGCGCAGCAGAATGTACAAGAAGTACAGGCCTACAGCAATAGGACGGCACGCAAAGCTGCGCAAGCGCCTCTTCAAACTTAACAGCCTTCGAGAAGGAGGGGCTAACATCAGCAAGCTCTACTCAGGTGGGTTGCAGCAGGCAGGCTACCACGGGACGGAGGTTGTAGGTCCTACAACCTCCGTCCCGTCCGTAGGTCCTACAACCTCCTACAACCTCATCCGCTCCTACAATGTAGGAGCGGATGACGGTGAAGTGAGGGCTATTCAAACCACGTTTTTAAAAGCATGCGGCCCAAGATGCACCACCAGGTCTCGCTCCCTCTGCCTCCTTCTCCTCAACGACCCCACCTGGAAGGCAGCATGTGGCCCATGCCTTACGTGGGCAAAAATTGTCTGGAGGGCGGCAACAACCAATGCAGGAGGCTGGACACTGCCTCAGCTGCGCGATCTGGTTGAGCCCATTTTAAACGCACCCCCTAAGAGATGGACGGAGTCCAGGGGGCCCTTTCGGAGCTTGTCTGTTGTCTCTCGGAAGGATTGGGTGGAAAGCGGTCAGCCCTTTTAAGTACCAAGATAAAGACGGCAGGACCTATATCCTCACCTCCGTGTCGCCCGCGCTCCTCTCCGCAGCGTTACAGAGAGCCTGGAGGGACAGGCTGGTGGAGCAAGCGAGCCAGCGACTGGGATGGGTGGAGGATCAGGTCTGCGTCTCTGCTGCCCTTTCTATCCTTCACTCCCCCTCTCGCCCTCCGCGTGAGCGTTCCATCCTCCTCGCCTTCCTTTCCCAGTGCATATGGACCAAGTATGGTCTCAGAGAGGCAGGATATGAAGTAGATACGAAATGCCCATGCGGGCATCAGAATGATAGTATGTTCCATCGTTTGTTTGAATGTGTGCTTTCAGCTGCGGACCGCAGCGAAGACTTAAGCTTCGAAGACATAGAGGCTCTCAAGACTGCCGATTGGGCTCACTTGCAGGCCGGCCTAGGAGTTAAGGATACCTTCGACAACCAGGCTCCGCCAGGGCTTGGTCTGGAGGAAGCGACGCTGTGGGCGGTGGACCCTCGTACCACCCTAGCCCAAGCCCTGCAAGGTGAGCTGTACCTCGACGGCTCATGTTTTAAAGACGGTCCCCAAAGTCACCATCGAGCTGGATGGGCCGTTGTAGCTCTCGACCCCATCTCGGGCGAGGCCCAAGCGGCCCTTGCGGGGCCAGTGGGACGCGAGCTTCCGCAAACGTCGCCTGCCGCCGAATATCTTGCGGCGCTCGCGGCTGTCAGATATGGCAGTAACATCACGTCTCTTGTTGCTGACTACTCGGGCACGTGCAAGCTGCACGACCCAACATTGTCCCATAGGAATTTCTACGCCGGGATTAAACTGTTAATTAAAGGTAGTCCAGGCTGGCATCGAGACCTCAGCCTAATTAAGGTCAAGGCGCACCAAGACTTAGACAGTCTGGAACGCCACACCGATGAATGGAGGAAGGCCGCAGGCAATGCCGAGGCGGACAAATGGGCGAAGTGGGCTGCCAACGAGCTGGCCAAACCCTCACCCGCCGAAGTGCAGATAAGTGAATACAGGTTTAAACTTTTGCAGCGGTTCCTCAGATATCCTTGCAAGGTCTTGCCAAAGTGGCCTCCTGTGGCCTCTTCGGCTGGGGGCCGAGCTCTGGCCAAACCAAGCAAGTCAAATTCCCCTCCTGTGGGGGCCGCCGCCGCCCCAGGCTCCAAGCCCGTGCTTCCTCCCCCCCGTCCTCCCGCGGCGTCTCGGGGTGCTGGGGGCCTCCTGGTGCACGATTGGGTCTGGAGTCTGGGAGGCTGGGTGTGCAAGCTTTGTAAAACCCGAGCCTTGACGGACCATAGTAAAGAATCGAGGCTCCGTGAGAAGTGCACGGGCAGTTCTCCTTTGAAGGCTCTTGCTGCAGACAGCCACGGCCACAAGCTGATGGTTGCAGATTTTACAACAGGAGAGAACTTTATCATTGCTTGTCAGATGTGCGGGGCTTATGCAGTGTCGAACCCACGTAATTTGACTTCTCCGTGCCCTGCGCATTTTGCTGAGAGTCAGAACCGTGGAGCCAGATATGCATGGAAACAGATCTGCAACGGCAGACACCCCAAGAAGTCTGGGGTACAGCTGAATGGTGTTATCCCTCTTGACCAGCTCATGCTCTCTTTAGCCGAGGAGCAGGAGCGGGAGGCGGAGGAGGGGCAGGAGCAGGAGGGATGAGCTCTCCTGCCGCCCGCCCGCCGCGGCCGCCTACAGCAGGCGCGCCGCACCCGCGCGCGCCCCCCCTTGCATAGGGCAGTGGGGCAGCGTAGCAGAGACACAGACACTGCTAAGGTTTTGGGTTGGGTCGGTTCGGCCAACCCTCAGCCTTCCTTCTTCTTACTGCGTGCTACTCCTCCTCCTCCTCTCTGAGGGGTGGGGGGTACAAGGGGAAGTGGGAGGGCAGGGCAGGGGCGAGCGGGGGTGCGCTCGCTGCAGGGAGGGGGCAGGGAGAGCAGAGGAGGAAGGGGAGGAGCTCGAACGAGGAGGCAAAGGGGCGGAGGCGAACGAGGAGTTGAAGGGGAGGGGAGGCGAAGCGAGGGAGGGGGAGGAACAGCGGCGGGGAGGAGAGGGCTGGTGGAGCAGTCCGACATGAAGCATCTGAGACGACTCCATCTTTCTGACCCTCTCCGCCCCACTGCTCCTCCACGTTCTCGTCCTACGGCTGATCCTCACCCTTACCATCGTCGCCGTCATCGTCATCATCACCGAAAAACAGCAGCAGCTGCATAGTCCATAGCATCGCATCCACGCTGCATCATCGCGCCGATCACGATTTCCATGGATACGTCCCAAGTTCGAAGCTCTGGCTGCCTTTGATGATGAGGGATTGACTGCAAAGGCCTGAATGGGGCACATTGGATTCAAAACAGCTCGGCGTCAACTGGCATTCCTGGCAGAGACTCCATCAGAGGTCCTGGAGGCAGATTCGGGTGCTCGCCACTTGGGGTAAGGAACATGTGCTGCATGTCGCTCGACAAGGCATAACTATGCACCCAGCATGAATCCCCCGACCCTGCCGACCTGTGCTAGAAAAAGCTCCGGGCCAGTCGTCCCGGAGTGGTCCTGGGGAACGCTTTCTCACGTTCATGAGGTTCGCTCCTCCATTCCCTGAAATCCTTCTGGAGACCCTCTCTGGCTCGCTCGTCAACTCGAAGTGCATCGAGACAGGACGTAACGAGGTCGTGATCGAGTCGAAGGGAAGCCCCTTCCCTTTGGTCCCTTCCCCGCCAGGGAGAGATCCTGGGATGAGTCCCAAAGGATCCCGTGGGGGGGCGGGTCAGAATGCGGTACCTTCCTTCCCTCTTCAGGTCGCCAGCGAGCAAAATTCAGGCCCGAGATAATCGTAGAGGGGCCTCAAATTACCAAAGGTCGCTCCAAGACGGCCCACGATGCCCGCAAGACGCCACAAGAGGGCTCCAAGAGCGCCCGCAAGAGAGCTCCGAGAGACAACAATCAGTGACTTTCCTTAGGTTCTCGCGGAACGTCAGCATTCTCGTTTTTGTTTTGGCTTCCGACGCCACAAAGATCGGCCCGAGAGACCCTCAAGAAGGCCCCCAAATGGCCCAAGAGAGCCCCAATACGGCCCAAGTGCAACCAAGACGGCCTAAGAGCGCCACAAGACGTCCCCAAGAGGGGCTCAAGGTCCAAGAGGGCCCCGAGTCGCCAAACGATCGCTCGAAGACGCCCAAGATGGCCTCAAGATGGCGCAAGAAGCTTCTAAGGCTCCCCAAGAGACCTCCAAGAGGCCTCCAAAGAGGGCCCGCAAAGGCACAAATCATTGATGTCCCTGGCGTTTTGAAGGATTGTGGCGCTCTCGCCTTTTCGGCTTCCCGACGCTCCAAGGCGGCCCAAGAGGCCCCCCAAGACCACCCCAAACGGCCCAAGAGGTCTCCAAGAGGACCCCAAGACGGCCCAAGAGCGCCCCAATACGGCCCAAGAGGCGCCCAAGACGGCCCAGGAGGGCCCCCAGACGGGCCCCGGACAGGGAACACGAACTGAAAATCCAAGCCTTCTGGCCCAAGGGGTCCCCAAGGCCCCAAGAGGCGCCAAAGAGGCGCCCAAGAGGCTCCCAGAGGCCCCAAGAGGCCCCCAAGAGGCCCCCAAGAAGCCCCCGAGAGGCCCCAAAACGGACCCCACGACGCCTCAGAACTGCCTCCAAGAGGCCCCGGGAGGCCTCCCGCGAGATTCCAACGAACATCCACTAAGCTTATAACCCACAACCCAGGCACGGTGGAAGGGACTTGCCATAGGCAGCTTGATACGGCCCAAGAAGCACCCAAGGCAGCCCAAGAGGGTCACATGACGTCCCCAAGATGAGCTCAAGAGTGGAACCCGAATTGACATGTCGAGCCCCTCGCCCCTAGAGGACCCCCGGGACCGCCAGCAGGCGGCCAAGAGGCACCCAAGAGGCCCAAAGAGACCCCAGAGAAGCCCAAAGGAGGCCCCAAGAAGCCCCTAAGATGCCCGGAGAGGCCTCAACATTGTCTCCGAAAGGCCCCCGCGAGGCCTCTCGAGAGACCCCGATATACATCCAAGAGGCCCCAACCCACAACCCAGGCACGGTGGCGAACTGGGCCTAGGGCTACTAGATGTATACCCTCCGGGACCGCCAGAACGCCCCAAGGAGACCCCAAGAGACTGAAAATATGTTTCCGAGAGGCCCTCAAGAGGCCTCCCATGAGACGCAAACAAGCCTCCAAGAGTCCGCGGCCGTTTTGGGGTCTCCCTCCTGATCCCCCATGCAGGGTCGGCGGAACAATCCGTAAGGCCTCTCCACTATACATCCGACACTGTTATCCACAAGAAGAGACAGGATAGGAGAACCACGAAAATTGGAAAAGGTGACCACGTGCAAAATGCACTCCTCCTCCTCCTCCTCCTCCTCCTCCTCCTCCTCCTATCCTAAATCTGCCCCCCTCCTCATCCTCCTCCTCTTCTTTCTCCTCCTCCTCCTCCTCCTCCTCCTCATCCTCCTCCTCCTCCTCCTCCTCCTCCCCATCCGCCTCCTCTCATCCTTCGCCTCCGCCTCATCCCCCAATCATCGTCACCACCACAACCATCATCATCGTCCTCACCCTCCTCCTCATCATCAGCATCATCCGCATCCTAATTCCTATCCTCATCCGCATCCTCATCCTCCTCCTCCTCCTCCTCGTCCGCATCACCCTCCTCATCATCGTTTTACCATCAACATCATCAGCATCAGCAGCATCATCGTCATCGTCATCATCGTCATCATCAGAATTATCGTCATCGTCGTCATCATCAACATCCTCATTATCATCATCATCATCATCATCATCATCATCATCATCATCATCATCATCAGCAGCAACAGCAGCAGCGGCGTCATCAGCATCAGCATCACCATCACCATCATAAGCATCAGCCCCATCATTAGCGACAGAAGCAGCATAATCATGAACACCGCTCATGAGCAGCAGCATGCCCATCATCATCGCCATCACATCAGATGCATCAACGGAAACGGCAACGCCGACATGATCGTCTTTGTCGACATAATCATCATCAGCTGCATCATCGACATGACCATCGTCACCACAATCCTGACAAGCATCACCATGATCAACATACTAATCTTGATAATCGTCGCCATCACCAGAATCTCTACCGTGTACACCAGTGTCGTCATGATCCTGATCATCACCACAAGCCTCAGCATCATCAACACCATCATCCGCATCACCAACACCATCACAATTAGCGCTATCATCATCACAATCAGCCTCATGATCATCATCATAACCATCCTCAGATTCCGCCACTTCATGCTCGACACATCAACGCTGAATTATACCCCGCTCCTGTTCACCGCTCTACCATGGCTGAACCCTTGGCGGAGCAACTGCAGAGGGGCCTCTAGGATGTTCCGAACGGTGCGGCCGTTGCCGTTGTCGCGGGATGCCTCTGCGCATTGGTCCGCGTCCTCGGCTCGGGGCACGGGAGGTGCAACCGCAGCAACTGCGGAAAGACACGACTGTCGACACATAGAAACGAGCACATATGAATACGCGAAGAAAAGATCAGACAACGCGCTGTGTCCTTGAGTTGCGCTACGGCATCAGAGGCAGCATAGCGTATCGAAAACAACCTAGCAACCTGTGACCCACCCCGCCTCAACACCAAACACCGCCGCCGTGCCCTTGGCAGCGAGTGGGTTGCCCGCAGGCCCCTTACAATCCTCAGCATCGAAGAAATATTTCGAATCCGACGATCCTCCGGCGTGTGTGAGGCGCGTTTCCGTTTAAGTCCTCGTCGTCGTCATCGACGTCAACGTCGTCGACGTAGTCGTCGTCGTCGTCGTCGTCGTCGTCGTCGTCGTCGTCGTCGTCGTCGTCGTCGTCGTCGTCGTCGTCGTCGTCGTCGTCGTCGTCGTCGTCGTCGTCATCGTCGTCTTCAGGCCCAAGGAAGCGGAGGAACATGGAAATTGAAGAACGTCGTAAAAGAAATCCCCTTACCTTTGAGCCCGTCCCTGCTGGGGGAGGCGGTCCCGTGGGGGGTCCCGAGGGGCACTCCGGGTCAGAACACCATCCCCCCCTGGGGGGTCCCAGCGCCCCAGAAGGCCCAGAGACGGGCCACGAGTGTCCCAAGAGGCCCCCAACACGGTTCGAGAGGGCCCCGAAGCGCGGAAATATCAGTCCAAGACGCTTAAAATAGCCTCCAGACAACCCAACATAGCAGCCCAAAGAGGCCTCCACGCACGAGCACTCCCACTAGGGCCCCATGAGGCAACCTTCGCTGATGCTATTTTGTCAGATGTTCGCGTCCTCGCTCGGCTTCCCAACGCTCCAACACGCCCAAGAGGCCCCGAAGATCACCCCAAAACGGCCCAAGAGACCCCCAAGACGGCCCCCGCTCCCGAGAGGCCCGCAAGTGGCTCCCAAGAGCCAAGAGGCTCCAAAAAGTGCCCCCCGGAGGCCCCCGAGAGCGCTCCGAAGAGACCCCAAGAAACATCCCTGAAGACTCTGACTCACGTCGTCGTCGTTGTCGTCGTTGTCGTCGTCGTCGTCGTCGTCGGTGTCGTCGTCGTCGTCGTCCCCCTTTTAGTGTCGGCGACACCTGCCGTCAGGCCTTCGTAATAATCATCATTGGCCGCAGACCCTCCATTTCCCAGATTGGGCGTTCCTTGAAGTTCTCACTAGACTTTTCCAGAAGCCCAGGGAGCACGGCCAAGAGGCCAAGCTCCCAGCATGCCGCGAGGTGGCCCCAAGGGCCAAAGTCCCGTCGTCGGGACCCTCTGGACCCGCACAAAGCGCGCCCTGAACTGAGTGGTTCTGCGGTAAGCTCGGATCATTCCTCCTCCTCCTCCTCCACCTCCTCCTGCTGCTCCTGCTGCTCCTCCTCCTCCTCCTCCTCCTCCTCCTCCTCCTCCTCCTCCTCCTCCTCCTCCTCCTCCTCCTCCTCCTCCTATCCTCCTATCCTGGTCCTCCTCCTCCCTCCTCCAACTTCCCTCCATCTTCCTCCTCCTCCTCTGCCCCCACCTCTTCCTCTTCTCCCTTCCTCCACCTCCCCTTCCCCCTCCACCATTCCCTTTCCTCCTCCTCCGCCTCCTCTCCTCCTCCTCCTCCTCCCCTCTGGATCCCTCTTCCTCCTCCCCCTTCCGCTCTCCTTTCCCCTCCACTTCGTCCATCCTCTTCCCTCCTCGTCCTCCTCGTCCTCCTCCTCCTCCTCCGCCACTCCTCCCTCCTCCTCCTCCTCCTCCACCTCCTCCTCCTCCTCCTCTTCCATCTCTTCCTCCTCCTCCCCTTCGCCCATCTCCTCCCTTTCCTCCTCCTCATCCTCCTCCTCCTCCGCCTCCTCCAGATCCTCTTCCTCCTCCCCCTCATCCTCCTCCCCCTCTTCGTCCTCCTCGCCTCCTCGTCCTCCTCGTCCTCTGCATCCTCCTCGTCGTCCTCCTCCTCCTCGTCCTCCTCCTCCTCCTCGTCCTCCTCCTCCTCCTCCTCCTCCCCCTCATCCTATATTCCCCTCCTCCTCCCCCTCTTCGGCCAATGACCCGCGCAGGAGACCAGAACCGTTGAGTTGACGACAACCACAGCCAGCCGCACGGCTTTCGCGAACACTTGGCAATGGCGGCGGCGGCGGGCCTGGGCGCGACTCGCTTCGACCCCGACATCGCCGTCGCCAGGAATCGGTGGGTGGGGGGGGAGTGGGCAGACAGGAGGGAGGGGGAGGGATGAGGGGAGGGGGAGGGAGGAGGGGAGGGGCAGGAGGGGATGGGGAGGGGACTAGCAAGGTGCGCTAGCGTCATATCTGTCGTCATACCCCTCCCTCCCAACCCTTACCACGGCGCAGATCTCCTCTTTATGGACACGGGCTGATGCCGAGCAAAACAATGATCCCGAGAGGGTTTGCGATGCATGGTAAGCATGGCATACCATGGTACAGAAGAGCGCGGCATAGCAGGGCACGTCATAGCATGGCTTGGCATTGCGTAGTGCAGCAATGCATCACGAACGCAACGTCGCATTGGACGCCATGGCATGGCAATGGATGCCTTGGAGGATAAATGACCCGTGCACGAAAGAAAAAGGACTGTCCAAAATCCCGGCTCCATGTCCTGCGCAACCGTGCCTGCCCGATGTGGGCGCTTTCGAATGCCAAGTGCTGTCTGGTAGGAGTACTGCAACAACGTAAGGCCCCAACCCCTTCCTTTCGACACGCTGCCCTGTGTTCCCACAGCCCCCTTCCAAGTCTCCGTGGGCTCCCCGGACAGCTCTGCACGAGGCGTGGCGGATGGCACGAAGACACCCAGAAGCTCCAGGGAACCCACAGCAATTGCCGACGGCGACAACGACGCAGACGACGGCGGCGGCGGCGGGGGAAACTGCGGCGGGCGAGGACGGATGTCAGGGAATAGTATGGCGGGCTGCTAGGCTCGATGGTCTGGCTTCGTTGAACAATCGGCTCACACTGTACCCCTGGACCCCTCACGAGGTCAAGTCGGATCGGCGTTTTCCAGCCGGATCGTGTTTAAGGTCCCTGGGACCCGACTTCTGCGGCCACCAAATCAACGAATCGACACCGAATGTGCAAACACTTCCGATGGTTTTTTCGGGGGGGCATTTTTTTAGATTTGGGTTTTTTTGGAAGGACCGAAAACCATGCCGTGGCATGGCGCTGGAAATTCGCCGGCCCAACGGGCCAGGGCGTGCTAAGATCTCCGGTACCTGGTTAACAGTATTTCTAGTTCGCGCGCGCGGGGCGGCCCCTGGGGGTCCCCGGACGAAGAGTACCCCGGCAAGGTCCCGGCAAGTCCCCGGCAAGGTCCCGGCAAGGTCGGGTCAGAGATGCCGGAGTTCTGTTTCGGAGTCCAAGAGGGCTCCAGATCGGTCCAAGAGGGCCCCGAGAAGCTTTCTAGACGGTCCAAGAGAGTCCCGAGACGGCCAAAGATCGCCCGAAGACGCCCCAGATGGCCCCAAGACAGCCCAAGAGGCCTCCAAGACGCTCCAAGGGCCTTCCAAGAGGCCTCCGAAGAGGGCCCCAAGTTGCCAAAATCGTTGATTTTCATTGGTTTTTTCAATGTTTTTTTGCGTTCTGGCCTTTTCGCTTCCGGACGCTCCAAGAGGGCCCAAGAGGCCTTCAAGACTGCTCCAAGACGGCCCACGAGGCTCCCAAGACGCCCCCGGAGCGGCCCAAGAGCGCCCCCCAGACGGCCCAAGTGCTGCCCAAGGCGGACCAAGAGGCCCCAAGACGGGCCCAAGAGGGGCTCAAGAAGGGAACCGATAACTGAAAAATCGAGCCCTCCGCCCCAGAAGGCGCCCAGGACCCCGAAAGAGGCCCCAAGAGACTCTCCAAGACACCCCCAAGACGCCCCAATAAGCTCCCGTGAGACCCCAAGAGGACCAACAACGTCAGGCCCCAGGCCCCAAGAGGACCAACAAATACCGCCAAGAGCCCGCCGAAAGCCCCCCAAGAGACCGTCACGAGAGCTCAGGAGGCCCCCTGGAGGCCTCCCGAGTTCTCCAAGAGCCCTAAAAAGAGGCGCCAAGAGGCCCCAAACGGCCCCAACGAGGCTCCAAGAGGCCACGAACGCGCAAGCAAACGCCTGCGATGGCACAATACGGGCCGGCGGAATGAGCGAAGCGATTAAATAACAACGCCAGCGCTGCAGCGGGAGCACGATTCGGAACGAGCAGTAGCGCGGAAATGAGGCCAGCGCTGCAGCGGGAGCACGATTCGGAGGATGCGTAGCCTGACATAGCATGGCGTGGTGAAGCCCCAAAGTGGGGGGGCTCCTGCGGCCCAGAAAATCAACGAATCGACACCGAATGCGTACTTACTTCCGATGGTTTTCTCGGAAGGCATTTTTTAGATTTTGGGGCAGATCTGGAAAGACCGAAACCCATGCCGTGGCATGTCGATGGAAATAACGACGACAGCGTTGCAGCGTGAGCGTGATTCGGAACGAGCAGAAGCGCGGAAATAGGGTCAGCGCTGCAGCGGCAGCACGATTCGGAACGAGCGGTAGCCCGAAAATGAGGCAAGCGCTTCAGCGAGAGCAGCATTTTGAAAAGAGAACAAAAAAACGAAAACCAACTCTAGGGAAGGAATCGTGTGCACAAAAAACCATATGCGGAGCGGGGCGAATATGTGCCGGACGTCACCAGGGGAGAGAGGAGAGTAGTATCCATATTGAACGATTGTGGACGGGAGGGGAAGGAGGGGGAGAAGGGGAGGAGGGAAGGGGGGTAGGCGGGGAGAAGGGCAGGAGGAGAGGAGGAATCGGTGGGCGGGGGGGCAGGAGGTGAGGGGGAGGGAGGAGACGGGAAGGGACGCGAGGGGTAGAGCGACAAAGAACTGCATGAACAGAACCTTTCGACGGTCTGCGCACACTTCTTGGACCTGAGCTGGACCCCATCCCTGGCGCGCGGAGCGCGCAAGGAGCGGCGCCGGAAGCGCCGCCGGGGGGCCCCAGCGCCGATCCAAGGTTGGGCTCACTTCGCTCGGGAGCTCCCGAGCGAAGCGAACCCCATCCTCTCCCTCTGAAATCGTGAGGGGTAGGGGTAGGGTTCGCACGTGGCCCCCGAATTACCAAGGATTGGCCCGCTCAAGCTAGATTCAAGGGCTCCAACGGAATTTGGCCGCACTGGGCCCCTTACAGCATCTCAGATACCAGCGCCGATGCTGAATCTGACCTACCATCCTTTGGAGTCCCGAAACGGTGGGGTGACGGACCGTGCGGTGACCTCGAAATACCCCAAGACCTCTCCGCACGGTCCGTCACCGCACGGATTTGGGACCCTGGAGGCCCGTCGCCGGAGACGTCCTAGGAGAGGGACCCGAGTCCCAAAACCGTGTGGTGACCCCGAATCCCCACCGACTCACCACACGGTGTGGTCACCACACCGTTTGGGGGCACCCGACCATCCTCAGGAAGGCTGAAGGGGCCCTGGGACACCCAAATAAACACACACACACACAAATCACAGGATCCCCCACATTTCTTCCCATCGTTTCGGAGTGTTTGGCTTCCCCCCCACTCCCCATATTTCCCTACATTTTCTGGAGGAATCGTCGATGAATTGTGTCTCTGTGTGTTGTTTCCCCTCCTGGCAGAGAGGGCTCCAAGACGCACCACGAGGGCCCCAGGAGTCACGCTGGGAGACGCGACGGGGCCCAAGATGCGGGAAAGATTCATGTCCATATCCAGTGCCTCTTGGACTTTTTGGGAAGCGGCGCCAAAAGGCCGAGGCGCACTGGATATGGGTAAAAATCGAGCCTCTAGGGGGCCAATTTATGCATATCCAGTGCGCCTCGGGTTTCTTGGGCAGGGAGCCCGAAACTCCATACTGCAGTGGATATGGACAGAAGTATTGCCCGCACAAGAGGCTCCCAGCATAGGCCCCCAAGAGGCCCCCCATTCCCAATATGTCCCAGATGTTCTGGGTTTCTGTCTTCCCCCCACTCCCCATCTTTCCCCACATTTTCGGGGGAATCGTCGATGAACTGTGCCTGTGTGTTCTTGCTCCCCCCTGAAAGGGCAGCAGCAACGGCCAGGAGCGAAGGTTTCGGGGCTGCCTCGGCCTCGCAGCAGCCGGTGGTCAGGCGCACGGTGCGGTTCAGCCACAGGCCGGCGCCCTCGTCGGCGGTGAAGCCCTGGGGGGAGCAGGCCGGGCCGAGGTTTGTGTGGTTCCCATCCTGCTTGAGGACCCGCATCCCGGAAAGAATTTAGGGGGGGGGGGGGCTTGACCACCGGAAAGAATTTCGAGCACCCCGAAAAGTGTCGAGCGAGTGTCGAACGAGTGTCGAAACAGTGTCGAAGCAGTGTCGGGCGAGTGTCTCCCAGGGCCCGACGTGTGAAGACCCTCGCGTTTCGGCAATTCTGGGGGGGCTCGAAATTCTTCCTGGTGATCAAGGCCAAAGTAGGTTGGAACAGCGTAAGCCGAGGCCCAGGAGCCCGCGGCTCTCGGTGGACGACAGCGCTCGAGCAGGGGATCGACCACAGGAGTCGGTGTACCCCAGAATTTGTTGTCTCGTCGGCTCTACGGGAAAAAAAACACCTGGAATTCTCAGCACATGTGCGAGAATTTCACGCATATGTCGTAGATGTCGTAGATTCGATTGTGGAAATCAAGTTTGGGGCAAATCCATTCTGAAGTCGATCCCCTACCCGAACATCAGGAGAAGGCGACGACGGCAAAGGCAAGACGAAACGGCACATAGGCTGAGGGGCAACGATAGGAGGGACCCGCTCCCCCCCTTCCCTGAGGTCCGACGCTGCGTGCCAGGCTCCAGCGGAACTTGCAAGGGGAAGCCCGAAAGACATAGGCATATGGTTCACACCGCCTACGAGGCGTGACGAAAAGGGCGCCCGGCTTAGACGAAGCCAAGACAAGGACAGGTCAGGGATCTCCGAGATCTGGCGGCTCTGTAGGATGTATCGGACACCGCGGCCGTTCCAGAGCGCTCGGGGACGCTCTGAGAACGTTCCGAGCGCTCTGGGACGCTCGGGATCGATCTATCCTGGTTCTCGCAAGGCCCGAGAAGTCAAGAACGGCTTATCGAAATGCACGCATCGGCCTGAGCAAAGACCGTTCCCGGGAGCATGAGCGCGCGGGGTCGGAGATGGGAAAGGAAGCATGAAGCAATAGAGGAGGGATCGGGGAGGTAGTTATAGATTTGGACAGGAGGAATCGAGAATGCAGCGGCCCAAGAACACACAAACAAATAAACACAAATCCCAGGATTGCCCATATGTTTCCATGATTTATGGATTTACGTTTTCCCCTCCACCTCCCACATGTTCACACACTTTCCTGGAAAGCGACACTTCCTTGTCTATCAACCCTCCTGAATGGTCAGAGGGGATACAAAATTGGGTGGACGGAACAGATGACGGTAAGGATGCGTTGGAGTGCAGGTGCTCCCCTGGCAGCCCTCCTTCTTCTTCATGAACAGGTTAGCGATGGAGCTCAGTTCCTGACAAGCGTAGTCATCGAAATAGAACTTGAAAGGGACCTCGCAGGCCCCTCCCCGCGTAGGATAAGAGGTGCCGACTGCCTCCAGGGCCCCGCTGCTCCCTTCCTCCCTCCTCCTCCTCCTCCTCCTCCTCCCTCCTCCTCCTCCTCCTCCTCCTCCGTCCTCCTCCTCCTCCTCCTCCTCCTCCACCTCCACCTCCTCCTCCTCCCTCCTCCTCCCTCCTCCTCCTCCTCCCCTCCGCCTCCTCCCCCCCCTCCTCCTCCTCCTCCTACTCCTCCTCCACCTCCTCCTCCTCCTCCTCCTCCGACCTCCTCCCCTCCTCCTCCTCCTCCTCCTCCTCCTCCTCCTCCTTCCTCCTCCTCCTCCTCCTCCTCCTCCTCCTCCTCCCTCCTCGTGAGCATCGGTTGACCGATCCCCATGCCCACCAGCACGGCCTTGGCCCCACTAGCCCATCTACCCTCCCAGGTGGGCATGCATGCAGCGCCCTTCCGGTCTCGCGGGGCCCGACCCCACCGGGGCGGGTGCCCTGGTGAGGCTCACATGCAGTGGCCCAGTGGGGCCACTGCAGTGGCCCGCGAAGGGGGGGAGGAGGAGGAGGAGGAGGAGGAGGAGGACCCAAACAAGAAGGAACGTCAACGGTACGGAATGCGAGCAGCCTGCACGGCACGGAAAATACGGATCCGACACGCCCAACGGCGGCAAAACTCGAATCCGACCCGAGCCGAGCAGGGCTTACGAGCTCGTCGAAGACTGCCAAAACTTGGCCTGTAGGCGGGCCACAAGCGCATCCATTCGAGGATTCCGAATGATCGAGGCGGTGACGGAGGAGGAGGAGGAGACGTCCGCCCACCCAGCCGTCCCACCCACCACCCGCCGAATGAGGTCGCACTCAAGAGGGGTCGGCGCCTGGAGGGACTCCTCGCGTCGACGAGAGTGCGGGTGAAGCCCCGCCTCCAGGCGCCGTCGGTCGTACGCCCGCTGGGGCGTCGGGGAGGGGCGACAAGGCTTGAAGAGGGTCCCACTAGACCTCTCCTCAGCATACGCCCCACATTTACAGCAATACACAAGTACCTGATCGCGTGCCGTCCAGCACGCTCTCAGAGAGTGCCCGCCCATCCCTTCACACTCACGCAGCTTTACAAGGAGCGGAGGGGGGCCTGGGCACTGAGTGAAGGGGGCGCTCGTCCTGCTCGGGGCACGACCCAAGGCACCGAGCACAACGCACCCTCCAACTACCCACCCGACACCACTCGTGCCACGACACAACCTGCGTTATGCTCGGCACCTTGATCTTCTTAAAGGATGGGAAAGGGAACGCTGGGAGGACCGCCGCCGCCACACTGATCGCAGCGCGGAGGCGTTTGATCATTAGCCCGTGCAACTCAGAGGAGGCGGGAGGGGCACGGGGGTGGAGGGAAAGGGCATCCTTGGCCAACAAATCGGCCAGTTGGTTGCCACGAACGATCCTTTCCTCGGCTGGTGGGAGCGCGGACATTACCTCTTCGGAGCGATGGGCACGGGTATGACTGACGTGCCCAATATGTATGTGTCCTGGATGCTGCAGCGCGCCACTGCGCAGGTCCAGCAAAAACATTGTGACCGTTAAAAAAAAAAAAAAAAAAAAAAAAAAAAAAAAAAAAAAAAAAAAAAAAAAAAAAAAAAAAAAAAAAAAAAAAAAAAAAAAAAAAAAAAAAAAACAAAAAAAAAAAAAAAAAAGCTGGGCCTGGACAGGCTTCTCCGTTACACGCACAGCACCCAAACAATCAGAAAACGGCATGGTGGTCCCAGGGCCCCGTTGGAATATGGAAAGCAGGGCGAGGGCGAGGTGCTCGGCCGACGGAGCCGTCTGCGGTAGAGACTCCCACACCACACCCTGCATCCTACATCGAACTTCACACTGCTCAGAATTCTCAAGAAAGACGGCGGCATACGCCGCTCGGTTGAGACGAGTGAATTCAGTTCGAGTCGCACTGCCGTCGACACACACACATCACATCCCGCGCTGAGCTCCTGGAAAGTCTCCTGGGTCACAGGGTTGCCCTGGGCATCCTGGAAAACAGGAAACAACTCGGAGGAGGGAGGAGGGAAATCGTCGGGCGAGGTTGGAACACCAGGAGCCTGGACCACAGGAGATCTTCGGGCTCATCACGCGCAACTGCTACAATCTCGCTAGACGTCGCCTCCTCCCTAGCAGCGGCAACGGCTGGGCAGCACCAGAGACGATGATGAATCGAATCGGGCTGGGAGCACAAGGGGCAGAGGCCTGTGGATACAAAACCGTGCTGTGCGAGGCGGTCCTCCGTCCACGTGCCACCAGAAAAAACTGACGCGACCACATGCTTTTGCAGAGCCGAGTATTTCTTGGAACGGACTGCCTTGACAATCAAATCAGCTGAGACCTCCTGTCCCTGCCCCTGAGGGAGAGTGGCAGCAAAACTACGGGCATGGAGGCGAAGAGTACTAGCATGCAACTGCTTAGCAAGCAAGGCAGGCGAGGTGAAAAAAACAAATCGTGCTCGATCTGGTTGTCATCGAAGAAAGTCTTGAAGTTGGTGAACGTCCATCCTAGGCGATACAAACACAACATGGCACGATGAATGGGACCAGCACTCTTGTTCCACTGCGACTGCTGCAAGACAGGAAACTTCGAGGCTACGGCATCCCACGTCTGTTGCAAGAACCTCCGCGATAATACCACACGGTCAGGTTGCACAATCGAGTTCCATACTGCCTTGCAATACTGAATGACAGGCGCCACTGCTATCTTCCAAGCTGGGTCATCATACAAGAGCATGCGAGCGGGTAACGAGCCTCCTCGGAATGGGATGAGCGCACGTCGTAGCGTCAACAGCTCTCTATCCGTCATGCCAGTGACAAGGGATCCATACGTAGCCGCAGGGCGCACCCCAGAGATATATATCTTGTGAAGCTTCGCCTTGCCCACAGAGATCCGTCGTCGTAAAGCACGGAGGAAACCAACACGTCTTTTCATAGCTCGAAACCGATTTTTCATCTGACACGTAGCACCAGGAGCAGCACGAGGACGAGCAGGAGCCAGGTCAGCACCGAGCGCAGTGGCAGAGGTCGTCGCAACAGCCGAGCGAGCACCGACTCGAGCAAGCCGTCGATCGAGTTGTCGAACGACATCATGGCAAGACCCAAAGACCACTGCCTTGTCGTGGGCGAGGCCAACCTGGAGCTCCTCCCTATAGACGGTGACGAGGTCCTGGGCTGCCTCCACGAGCGCTGGCACGAGGTCTTCACGGGGGCCCGTCATGGAAACACAGTCATCATCCACGTACACGCCGAGGTCCAAGCGGGGGTGCCGCGCCACGAACCCATCTAGGGCCCCGAGGAGATAAATCTGCACGAAGGCGTCATTGAACACGTCGCCGGCTGGCAACCCTGAACTAGCAAACTGCACGAGAGGACAGTGGTGAGCTCCCAGTCGAACCAGGCGGGGCCCCCTCCAGAAGTTGAAAAGGACCTTGACTAGGGCCCGCGGGAGCCCACACGCCAGCGCTCGATCACGCAGGAGCACTAAGTTAAACGACTCATAGAACTTGAAGCCATCCCACAGAAACCCCGCCGTCTCCTGATCGACAGCCTGGCCCCGTTCTGCACGGACCGCAGCATGCCACACCGCCTCCTCGGCTCCCCTGCCTTTACCAAAGGACCAGTATTTGCGGG